GATTTCGTTAAAATTTTAAAATTACTTTCTACTTCCTGTAGGTAAATCAGAAAGTCTCCTGTTAAGTTGACTTTTTTTTATTATAATATCAACATTTTTTTAAAATACATTAGGGTCAATCGACCAGTGAATGAACAGTTAACCGAAGTATTAACTTTAAATAAATCACGATTTTTTATTTTATATAATATGGGGTAAAACTGGTACAAAGGCAACTATCTATAATTGAAAAATTAAGAGAAAATATTACCTAGACATAAAAATAAAATAATACGGTTTCACAAATTTCAATTTTCGGCGAATAAGCGAAATATCTAGTAAATGAACGATAGAAGTCAGTGAATAAACACATAAAGACCAGTTAATGAACCTTGTATTTATTAAATGAAGCTTTACAAAAATTCAAGTTTAAATAAACATAAGCTTTTAATAAACATAATCAGGTAAGAGTATAATATAAAAACATTATGCTGCATTTACATATTAATAACAAAAGTCCCTTCAGCGCTTTGAGGTATTGGAACAGCAATTTTTTTCACAATTTTATCCGAGTAATACCAAATTACTCAGGTGGTGACGGCCACTTCCAAGTGTTCTTTTTTGTACTATGGATGTTTTTTATCTTTACCTCTGTCAGTGTATATATTTTGTTTATAATTTTGAGTGTTGTACATGTTTTTCTATATTCTTTTGTGTATATTTGTATACATATTACTTTTATTGTACCATGTGTTTGCCATACGATAAATAAATAAATGTACTATGGAGAGCATTTACTTTATATTCATTATTTTTAACAGCCTTTATTAGGCCAGGATAATGTGAATAATCATAGTTTACCAGAACATAATCACCTTTAACAAAAGGAACACTTAAGTCAAAATTTGATGTTGATTTTTCTAAACTTATTGATGACCATTTAGGGGAAATTTTATTCTTAACTCTTTCTTCGTCCGATTCTTCGATTTTTTGAGCATTATTACACTTCGTCATATCTGACCATTTTTCTTATTTTTCGTATGTTTTCTTTTTTTGTCCTTGTAGTTTCAGTTCAAATAGAGACAGATTTTCATCCGTACTTGAGGAATCATCTCTGTTAAACCGTTTTGTATACTGTTGCTCGATTTTCTGATCTTTATCACGCTTCCGCTTTTCTGACTTTTTCTCTTGTTTTTTGCATGTTTTTCTTTCTTGTCCTTGTTTTAGCTTCAATTCAAAAAGTGACAGGTTTTCACTCAAGTCTCTGTTAGGTCTCTTTATTTCATACTGTCGCCTGATCTTATTTTTTCGTTCTTGTTGTTCCATTCGCTTTCTTTCTCTATCGAGTTTTCTTTTTTTAATGTCTTCCTCTTTTTGACGCTTTATTTTATCTTGTTCTTGATGAAATTCTACCCATTTTGTTGAAGTTATCGCCTAGCGGCATTTCGCCTAGCGGTACACTTAAGTTCATGCTGCCTGATTCTACTGCTCTGATACCCAGTGACAACTGCTCTTTGGAATATTTGAATCTAGTGTATTTCCGCTCCATCTGTACCAACAAAAAATATTTATTTTTAGTAACCGTCAAATACTTTTAATAAAACTATAGATAATACTAAAAATTAAACCTCCAAAACAAAAACTAGTGCCCACTTATCCTAATAATAATAGACATAAATCATTTGCAAAAAGGTCTTATGCCTAATCTAGTAAATGAACAGGAACAATATCCAGTAAGTAAACGATTCAAAATCCTGTTCATTTACTGGCTGACATTTATTTTAATTACATTTAAGGTATTTTAATGGATTTACATATGTAAACAAAGCTTAAGGGTCATTTTAAAGCAATTTCAGATAATCGAATAAAATACCAGTAAGTGAACAGCCGTTCATTCACTGGAATTTGAACTTTTTTCCCGCCAGTTATTAAACACATTAAATGAAAATATAACCTAAAAGATAATAGATGTTTTACTTTTGGATTAATAACGATGAATTGTTGAAATATATATTCTCACACACTGCCAAGCTTTTATATTTTATGAACAATTAAATACCATCATTAATAATAGGATATGTATCTACTTACCCTAAAGAAAATGGCGCTTAAAAGACTAACAACGTCAGACCACAACTTTGAACAGCGATTTGCACGTGTCGTTTATTAACTGGTTGTATTTTAGCAAGTTTGTCGTAAACTACGCAGTGTAAATTAGATTAAAAAAGGACAACAAATAGAGTTTAATGGCCGTATACCTTATTAGAGCAAGATAAAGTTATTTTGTTCATTAACTGGGTCACATTCATTCACTGGTTGGTTTACCCTAATTCGAAAAAAAAAATTGTTTCGAGGACATTTTGATTGTTTTTTTCATCAAGATATAGTTTTGATGGTTTTATTCTTTTCAATATTATTACTCTTTGATTGTAGTTTGTATTTTATAGTATACAAATTTTTCAATCTGAATTTGTAGGTCTTTTTTATGCTGGTTTCCGTTTGGTATCTATGCGTTGGTGTTTACAAAAAATAACGTTTTTATTTTGAATGCCAGAGAGTATGCACAGTTGAACACAGTCAAAAGCCTTAGCCCTTGTAATATGTACCATATGATCGAAAAAAAAACGGCGTCCAGTTGGCTTGGAAATGACGGTCGATGATATTTCCCATATAATTTTTATAATATCTCAACCTAAGACGTTTGTGGACTTAAACACTAGATGGCAGGACAGGATTTACAGTCTTTTACTACAAAAAATATCTTTTGTTACTCTGGATTTTGTAGTATTTGAAGCGGATTTTCATTCAAGTAAATTTAAACAGCCAATCCAAATAGAGAAATTAAATAATCGATAAATTTTACACTTAGTGATTACAATAAACTATCTAGATTTTTCAACTACCGTGCTCTATGTGCCCTACCAACTCCACTGAAATCTGAATTTAGGTAATTAACAATTTTGCAAAAGGCTTGAAAAATGATCAGGGAAACCTTATCATTTTTTACTCTCTTTTGTTAAAAATATATTTCTTCAGGTATTAAAAAGCAACAGGATATTTTCTTATGCTTTATTTTACAAAAATAAAGATTGAAATAATATACGAAAATAATAATACGTTACACATCACAAACTTAAACCTAATTCTTACATTTAAACACCGGATTTCAAATGGCAAATTTTGCACGTAATTTAAATAAACTACCCTAATAAATAATGTAATAAATACTTTAAAAATATCAATTATACGCGCTCATGATTCCGGGCTGGACTAGGAAAGAAATTAATTTTATAGCTCTAATCTAGGATCAAAACAATCATCTTAAACATATTTATAAGGATATTAACTAATTTTATAAACTCAGTAATCGATTTATCAAATAATATAATGTTACTTCTAAATGTAAAGTAAATATGGTAGTAAAAAAGTATAGGAATAGAAAAAGTGTAATAAGACTTGTAATGTAATAGTGATTTTCTTCAACTGAAACTCTAACTTCACAGAAATACATGTTTGAAGTAAGTGTCAACAATATGGAGACTCTAGTTGACACTAACCCATTAGATATCATGGAGCTCAATAATATGCCTAATAATTTTAATGTGGACGAAAAGATTTGTAGACATTTTTAAGTTTAGTTCCTTGTACTACTCAGAATTTACACATGATTTCATGTTTGAATATCTAAAATATGTATATATTGGTATTATTATCTACATGGATAACACCAAGATTCTAAATAAAAGTAAAGGCAAATCAACTATTTGACAACATTTATGACATATAAAATATAGAACACAAAATAAATTGAAACTATCTAAATATTTAAAAAAAATCTTAATAAAATATCAAAAATGTACATGGGAGATGTTAGCAATCTGTAGTTATCCTTTCTTCGGTTATTGAAGAATATTAAAAAATATAATAAAAAAAATTGTGTGTGCACTATGTGCGCATTGAAGTGAAACTTCTTCTTACTTCTGTTTGTCTGTGTGTCCGTCTGAGGGTTCCATTTGGGTACCTCTTTTCACGTGCCTATTCCCGATTTCGTCCATTTAGAAGCATAGGTTCGAAACGTTGAGGGCGTCATCCTGTAACTCGTCCCCAATTATGCCGAAGTCGAACCACATTTTTCTTCAGTATCAAATCGTTAGTCCCACCTTGATGAAGATGGAAACGAAACGTCGCGCGTCGTATCCAACTTTGCAGGGTGGGACCATGTGCACCAAATTTGGTCGCGATCGGACGACATCAACTTGTGACGTTTCTTACGTCGAAACTAACTGTCACAGTGACACGAGTCGTACACTGTCAAGTTGGTCTTGGTCCAATCTATCGACATACCAAATTTCATTTAAATCGGACAATTTTTTGATTTGATTCATTGAGGATGAGTTTTCGTAGTGCGCGAATCACAAAATGGGACTCGAAGAGTTTCTTCATTCCGAGTTTCAGCCCCCTAGTCCACATAGGGCCCTAGTTACGACGCTCCGTCATAACCTCCAACCGTTACCACTTTTCCTGGCGCTAGCTCCTGTGTCACGGTCTTGAATTTTTCTTCCTAACGCGCGTAAAGAAGTTCACTTCAAAAAATATTCTATTTCTTCTTTAATTCTTGCTTTAATTACTTAATAGATTTTGTGTATTTTTGCTTATTTATTTAGTTTTGTTGAAAGAATAAATTGCTCGTTGAAAGAAGAAATTTATGTCAAAATAAATATTCAATGATATTTTTCACTTAATTCTGAGCACTAGAACTTTACATAAAATGTATAATTATACTTGTCAAGTTTTTATCTTAGTGACGAGTATACTGTAGTAAGAAGGATTTCCAATTTTCTTAGTCTTAAGATTTCATTACAAAAGAAAGAGAAAACAATACAAAAATATATAGTTTTTCAAATGCTACACATATCTGCAACATAATATAGTAGATTAGTAGTAGCTTGTAACTTGGGTAATTATCTAGTCATGTTGTTCAACATAATAAATTATAAGTTGATTTTATGTATCCTATCTTATTTGTTGCCATATATTTACCAAGAAAATTGCGCCTATGATATCTAATGAGTTCTACCAGCTACCAAGTTCACATGTTGAGGAATATAATTTCAAGCGTATTTTTTCAATATGAGCCTTTCTCCTGAGTAGGAAAAGTATCCTAGTAGATTTCCTGACATATTTTTAATAGCAATATGTGTACCGAGGTATCAACTTCCATGTAACAAATAATGGCAAGATAGCGTTAACTCATATTTTCGCATCTTCTCTGTGAATCGGTTGCCCATGCTCATCTATTTCTAAAGATGGAATTAAGGGTGGCATAAAACCATATTCCATTCGAATACTTTTTTCATCAAACCTTGATCTCGCTGATCTAAAAGTTGAAGAGTCCGATACCGGATCTTTCGGAGGCACCAGACCTGAGTAATCCTCTTGTTTTTTTAACTCAAAAACATTAGCTTGAGTAGCACATGACTGAGTTTCTTTACAGTTATTTTGTGACAGTGAAATTGGAGGTAAGTACCCATTATTCAACTGAGAAGTGGAGTACCTAAATGACTGACTCGATTGTAAATCTGCTGGGATGTTTTGAGCATATTGAGAATTTGCTCCTGGAAATACAAGCAGATTAAGCTTTCGAAGTGGCTGACGCGGTCTTTCAGCTTTATCTTTAAATTTATTTTGCTCTGTTAAAGCATGGTTTACTTGTGTGGTGTATGCGCTGGATATTGATTTGTCTTGTATTTGTTTTCTTCCACCGATAGTGTTTTTAAAATGATACATTGCTTCTTCTGGTCGATAAGACTGCCGTACCAAGTTACCATACTTCTGCTTACTAAACAAGCCAGGAATTTGAAGTAGGTATGCTTGAGAAGTAGGCACCTGTACCGGGTATGGCCGGTCAATATAATGAGGAACTTTCTTTTCTACAATCCTTTCTACCGGCTTTTCAATATAATATGGCACAGGTATTTTACGTTCTATAATTTTCTCGATGGGTTTCTCTACAATTTTTTCGACTGGTTTTTCTATATAATAGGGTACTGGTATTTTGCGTTCAATTACTCTTTCGACAGGATAAGGTACTGGAACTTGTAAGGGCACATTAACTTCAACGGGATATGATTCTTTTATAATATTAGGTACTACTTTATCTACAGTTTGGGACTGAAGATATGTTATGGAACTATCAACAGTTTGAACGTTTTCAGGGTATTTAGTAAATTCAACAGGTACTTGAAATTGTCGATTACTCAGATTTTCTTCAGAAGGTAAATTATTTATATGAAATTCTTGATTATTTTGTTCATTTGTTACAATCTCTTGAATATCTTTAGATTGTTCTTCAATATTGTTAATATTTTTTAGTTGGTTAGACTGAATTTCTTGTGACAATAGTTCTGCAATTGGTTGAATATTTGAACTTTCTTGATTTGGAAAATATAAGAGCGTTTTGCCTATTTCAATGTTATCGGTTGCCTTTTGCACAGCAGATTGATCATCTGTTTCACTTTCGTTGTTACTTGAAAAACTTGGTTCTGTAGGGTACTGATACATGCCTAGATAATACGGAATGGTTTTCTGTACTTGTACGTAGACATTTTCTTTTTCTAGGTCTTCTTCGCTTTCTAGCGTCTTAGAATCATCAAAAATTTGTTCTTCGATGTGTTGTAACTGAATACCGGCAGTTATTGGAGCTAAAAATTTCGAACTCACAGGCCTGGGAGTTACTATCGTTGCGTCTTTTCCTTTCGAAAAATCAGTAGTACTGCTAGCAAGTGAACTTCGAGCTGTAGTCGCGTACTCTTCTATATTCTCTTCGGTTTTTTCCGTTACAGGTTTATCTTCGTTTGACTCAGCTGCGATAATTGGTGTTTTTAGAAAGCTAGTATAAGTATGAGATGCTGGAGGAGATACAGTTGTGGAAGAGACAATTTGCAGTTGATTAATATCATTGTTACTAGCTTCGTGTAGTAGAGAAGGGGTAATATATTTTTCAAGCAGGGATCCCAAGGTACTATTTTCTATTTCTTCTTCAGCAACATTACCGTGACCAACAGCTTCGTTGATGTTTAACACATCCGCTCCCGAAACTAAATGTCTGGTAGACTCTATCAGTTTATTAAGTGTAGGTTGTGTAGAAGTGTGTACTTTTATTTTTCTACCAAACTCTATATTGTTTATATTTTCGCTGGGTTGGTTTAATTGGACAATTTTGTTAGGCGATTTGATCAAAGCAGCTGTTTCAAAAAGCTGTCCATTTTCACCTTTTGTATCAATCGCATTATCAAATGCACTTTTTTCAGTTGATATTGAATTTAAGTTATTTGTGGATGATAATTGTTCGCTGTTGGCCAGTATTAATTTTTCAGGTTGGGGAAGTTGTTCACCGATATTAGGTAAATGATTGTTAATTATAACCTGTTGATCTTCAGTCATAGGGTCCTTTGTCACACTTTTATAGTCTGGGACTCCCTTAAAGTTTCCTTCTGGTTGAGTATTCTGGTGCTGGACAAAATAAACTACTTGTGGTGTTGTATGGTTTGCACTATTATGGTAAAAACTATGTTGTGGATCATTAGTTTGAATATCACTCGACAATAATTGATTATTTAAATCATTTGGACCAATTTCATCACTATGGGACGACTGAGCAGGTTCAAATAATAGTTTGGGTGAGATTTCAGGTTTTGGAGTGCTTAGAATTACTACATTCCTAATTCCTCCAGTAGAACCTCTTGGTGAGTTCCTCAAAGTACTTTTAAAATGCGATGATGAACTTGGAATATTAACTTGACCTATATCACGATTGTAGTTAAATACGTATTGAGCATTTGTTTGCGGTTGTTGATCTTCAGGGATAAATGAGACGTGATGGTTTCCAGGATCTTGTTCTTCAACGTTGCCATTAGGATCAACAATTAACGATTGTGGAACAGCTTCATTGTTAACATTAACTGGTTGTTTAACTGACGATAGAGGGTTTCTAGAAGATGGATCCAGTTTAGCCAAGTTATTTGCTATACCGGGGTCATTAGGATCTTCAGGAAACGTTTTCTGGAAAAAATAGGGGATAAGAGATATTTATTTTTGAAAATTAGGGATCAAACCTGATTATTTTTTAGTTTAATTGCTTCCTCTCCTAAGACGAATCTGGCTCTGGTTTTACTGTGCGGTCCATTATTCTCATATTCTACAACGGGATGGTAGCCCCACTCGTCAGCGAAGTATTTTACACTTTGGCTACTATCTGGACCGTTTTCAACATAATATCTAAAAATGATCAAAATTAATAACTGTACAAAGAGTTTCCTACGATGTTCTCTATGGGTATCTCGGAAATTACTGGAGATAGAGAGTCGGTTAAATGGGGAAAGAATTGCAGTTTTGTGGGGTCATAAATATGCACCTTTCTTTTATTGAAAAAGTTCATGGCTTACTAGATATTTGGAAAAAATATCTAGTAATTATATTTTTTTGTATCGATGTTTCAAAAAAAAAATATATATTATAGCTTTTATATCGCTGAAAAGCTTAAACAATGGCGCTTTTTAAAGTCATGGCAAACTATGGTTTCCATTAAAAAAAAACATATGTTTGTGTCATATGTCAAAAATGACAGGCTTTAGAAAAAATTGGAGAACACAAATTAATTAGAGATGTGATTCTCTACAATTTTATCTGAAAACTTTTTGTCTAACATAGATTTTAATGAAATTAGGGACAATTTTTAATATATCCAAAATTTGCTTTTTTCGAAATATCTAATAAGCCATGCATGAACTTTTTCAAAAATCTGAAAGGAGCATATTTATGACCCCACAAAACTGCAGTAGTTTCCTAGATATCTCTAGTTAGTTCTATCTCCAGTAGTTCCCGAGATACCAGATAGAGAACATCGTAGGAAACTCACCCTGTATTTGCAGTTATTGCATACTGCACCCATATTATTGTACAAAATATAAATTATTATTTAAAATTATCTTTAACAACGATGTTAACAGTATATTTTTTTCAAATGTTTGGAATGATTACGTATATGCTTTCAGTATTAGTTTCATTTTGAGGCTCTAGTTTAAAAAAAATATAAAATAATGTTCTAAAAAAAAGATAATTAATATACAGGGCAATTTTTTTCGGGATTTGATAGAAAAACATGCTAAACCTCTAAAAAACTTGAATGGAACAACTTTTCAAAATATTTAGTCTTACATACAAGGGATATAACAACTCTATATCACTATCTAATAAAATATGTAAATTAAGTATTTGGGCAAAAAGATATCGTTATTTTTATTACTGTATTTCGCTAATTTAGGTTTAGTAATTTTGTTTAAAAATGAGGCAAAGTGTTTCGGAAATTAGTTACTTCCCATCATCAGGCCCAAACACTCACGTCAAAAACCCACACTAGCTCCGAAAAAATAAGATAAGTGAGAGTTGGTGTGGCTTTTTGGCCTGATTTTTGTCTTCTTGGGCCTGATGATGGGTAGTAACTGATTCCCGAAACATGTTGCCCCATTTTTAAACAAAATTATTTTTTGAAATAAACATTTGGAAAGATTTTGAGGTTTTGAGTCCTCTACCCCTCGTTAGAGGTTTTGCGATTGAGATGTACTCACACTGGGTTGGAGAACGTTTAAATATTTTATACGATGTACTTAAACAGCCGTTAAAAGATAGCCCACTAAAATGCCGTTAATAGATATTGTGACGTCGTTCATGTCGGCGGAAAGTAATGCCTAGCCTTAAGGATTTTGCAAGAGCACCTGTGGGTCAGTGGCTAAGGTTATCGCTTCGTAAGCGAATGGTCCGTGGTTCAAATCTCACGCCGACCAAGACTTTTTTATATTTTTAAACGGTTTTATTTAGCTCGACCCGTACGGTATTTATTTATTTGTTTGGGTCAAAATTAGAAATTGAAATTTAAGTACCTTCCTGTTGTCAGATTGATCTGAAATTTGGTACACACCTTTAGTTCCGATGACAATACAGTATAGTAATATCAATAACATTGTAAATCTAAGATGGCCGCCGGTACAAAATGGCGGATTTCATATTTTTCCACAGCCCCCTCAATATGGGTATCAAATGAAAGGGCTACACTAGTAGAATACTGTGATTATGAGAAAATTTAAAATCCAAGATGGACGTCGTTTCAAAATGGCGTATTAGGTGAGGGCATGAGTAGTCGTGTCCAGAACAGTTGTGTCCAAGATTGTGTGACGTTAGAAGGACAGATAAAAAAAAATAGGTTGTGTGATTAGATGTACCTACGTAGTTAGCGGTAGCTTTACCAACCAAGTTAAGGTAATAGGTTAAAACGTGCTGAGGACTGTATGGCATTAGGGTGGCTAAAAATGTAATGTCGCAAGCGTTTTCCCCTCAAGATTGGGCGCCTCTTGTTGTATATTATAGCTTGCCCCTCTACTGAACCTCTGGGGTCGACCGTTAAAATGTCCATTACCTGTGGGAACAACATGGAAACAATAACAAAAAAACAAACAAAAATAAAAAATCGGTAAAAAACTTTTAAGATGAAACGGTTTTATCTTATGCGCACTGAAAACTAGAAAATAATAATAACAATTAGTATTTTTTGAACTTCTAGTTCAGAAATATTTTAGTACTAGGCAGAATAGCTTTTGTGGCAAACTTCAGACTAAAAATAAAAACGTGAGGCCCCTCTGAAATCCTACCTATGGCAAAGCATATCTTTATACTTTGGTAGATCATGAGCTCGGCGTTCGCTGGTGAAGCCGCCACGGCTATTATTGATTGTCAAAATTCCAGTTACGATTATAGTAAGTCGATGCAATCCACACTTAGTATAGAAGAAAGCATTACAGCAATAGTTAATGGGTCCCACGTTTTTATTTTAGTCTAATATGCCTAAAAGCTATTCTGCCTAGTACTAAAATATTTCTGAACTAGAAGTTCAAAATACCTAATTGTTATTATTATTTTCTAGTTTTCAGTGCACATAAGATAAAACCGTTTAACTTAAAAGTTTTTTACCGATTTTTTATTTTTTTGCTTATAGCGTGATCTTATTGCATTGGTTTCACTCTTTTTGGTTGAATTGGTTTAGTTATTTGGCGGGTTGGTTAGCGTGGTTATTTGGAGGGTGTTAATTCATTGGTTAGTTGGTTATTTGGTGGGGCTGGTTGATTTTTACTAATTTATATTTGTTTTTTATATTTTTTATCAGTGTCGAGGTTAGTTGCGTTGGTTAAGTTGGTTATTTGGTGGGGTGGATAATGTTGGTTAGTCCTTATAAAATTCCTCTATTTCATAAAGCCGTCAAGTGTGTCACATCAACGACGTCATACCTAGTGACGGCATTTTAGTAAGCTACCGTTTAACGGCAGTTTAAGTACAGCCTATTTTATATTTACCTTCCTTGTGCATAAATCCCATCTCGCTCTTCATCTTTTCCCTGAATCGTTTTTTCATCCTGAATTTTATAACCGTACTGATATTTTGGAGGATTCTAAAAAATAAGAGAAATAATGATAATTTCAGAGAATATACGTTATCGAAATCAGATATTTACACCCGTATTGCCGTATTAAGGAAAAATCCGTTATAAATGAGTTGAAGAAGTTAAGATCTTTCTTTAATTTCTATTAAGAGCACTTTTATACAGGGTGCTTCAAAAACATGTGCCATATCCCGTAGGGAGTTTCCTTACGTAAAAATAAGATTTATTTTTTGTATCAACATGGCCGATTCTGCGTTGTTTTGTAGCTACAGGGTGTTAAAGTCTTAATATTTTTTCGATTTTTTAAAATTTTCTTCCAAGTGCTTTTAGCGTTTTGAATAAAATTTTGAGGGTAAAAGTTACTATAAATGCGGCATATTTTAAAGCTTAAAAAGTGTCGACATATTTACCAGTGACGTGCATATGGGTTATCACTGGAATATTTTTCTAAAAAAATGATGTACGTTACTAACTTCTTTCCCTTGTTAGCAAAATAGTGTAAGCCGTTTAATGCCGATTAAAAGTTGTCTCTTGATATTTTGTCAATTTCGGCCTCCTTGATGAGATAAATGCAATTTTATTAATTTGCCTTGATCCAAGTCTAATTGCAACCTTTAAAAATAATAGCATTAAGTTGCGAAAGTTTCAAATAAGTACTCATTGATTCCTCATCAAAAAATATGAAAAAAGTCCCTATAGACATGGGTATGGAAATGCATAGTTTTAGACTTACAGGATGTTAAAACTTTTTAAAATTAGTTTTTTTTGTAATTATAATAATAATAAAAATAATAAATAATGTTTATTCAAACTGATCCAATTACAAAGTATATACAAGACTTATACATAACTTACGAATACAAAATAGTGAATAAACATAATATCCTCTTAAGGTAGAACCTTGTCTGAGGAGTTTTATTTCTACAACAATAACTACAATATTTTATACTAAATTCTTAACTATATCTAAATGTATCAAATTAATATATTTCATTGTCCAACACTTAAGCACGCTAAAAAACAAGTTATTACACAGCGGTCTTATCTCCTATATCTAGTATTTTATAGGAATAATTTAACGAACATTTTATAAGCACTACTACTCCATCATTTTTATTTAGACTTCCTTCATTATATATAATGTTGCATCCCGGTATCTTATATAAATCAATATTCCAAATTTTAAAACTTTCAGTAAGTACTATACAATCAAATTCAAAATCTATTCCACGTAAAAGAACAAGAAGCTCATCAAAATTGTGATCTATGCTACGAATATTATTATGAAAAAGTTTAAATGATGATAATTCAATGTCAAATTTACATATATTAATGTCATCCACCACATCTGCCTCAATCAACCTTGTTTCAAAGTCCCTAATATATGAATTCATTGTTATCTTATATGTTAAGCTTTAAATATTTAACTTGCAATCTGACCCATATCGGAAACTTACCTAATTTTTCAAAAAGAGAATAAAAGATAAAATATATATTTTTTTTGTTTTACAATATACTCCAAATACCTTTAATAAAGAAACAAATAATCTATATTGGTTTATAAACGTCCATGTATTTACTATATATTTAAATATTAATAGTCTATTTATTTTTAGCCCAACACCAAATTAAATTTAAACATATACTATATTTTAATTATTTAAAAAGTCCCAAAGAGTGCAGAGTAAGCAAGTCGCGATATATGCTTATATCTCCAATTAGACTAAAAATTACAAGAAAAATTGTAGCCGCGCACAAACGAGCGCCATCAATGTATATAAATAATTCACTCACGTTTTGTTTAAAAAAAATGTCTCTTTACACTTGACGACATCTTCATTTCTATACCGGCTTCGAGTAACTTCTTGTTGCTGGTCTTCCCTTATTAATTGAAGGTAGGGATGCGGTTATAAGGCCAGCCGAACCCCTGCGAGTTTGCGTAGTCGATGCTCCCGGATTAATGGTAAATTCAATAGTACTGGTCGGCTTAGCTTTTGGATCCGGATAGTGAGTTTCTTGCTTGTGACGCTCTATAGGTTGTACCATTTCTAAGTCTATGGGTTGTACAGGTTGTTCGTTGACGGGTGTCCCCGGAGCACTTAGGGATGGTCTAGATGGAATATCGGTAAAGACTTCGCAATCATATTCGTTACCTTTATTTCCTCTCTCCACCAGTTGTTCGTAATTATAAGTTTCGCTGCCAATTACAAGAGTATCCCTTTTAATGTGCGCCCTTAAACCCTTTTCCTTTGCCTCTTTCAAATTTTGTTTGAGTACCTTGTTCACCACTCTCTCTTTCTTGGAAAGATCGTGGTTAATAAAAATGTTCTTTCCCTTCAGCTTATAGGCGCTTCGAAGAATCAATGCCTTTTTTAAATATGAATTGAGTTCTATACGTAGCGGTTTCGTTGAGTCGTTTCCTAAGTAGTATAAATTGTTTATATCGCTTATATTTATATCTACTTCTAACAGATTTCTTATAGTTGCTCGGTTACCCAAGTAGCTAATTCAAAGTCCTTTAGGTTTCTGTGGTCCCGTAGCCCAAATATTATCAAATTGTTCTTCCTAGCTAATTTTTCTAGTGCTTGTACCCTGTATTCTATATCGTTTAATTTACTTTGTATTACAGTAATACCCTCCTTTAGAACTTCCGTTTGAATTGACAAATCCTCTCTCACCGTTTTAATGTCTTCTTTTAATTCTTTTTGCTGTTCTGTATTAAAGATTTGATTTCTTGAAATTGTTTGAATATGAGCGTATCTACCATTCTTACGGTGTATATATTATATATTATAATATCTGTTACTCAAATAAAAAATATTGCAATTGGCAACGACGTCCGCTGTACATGTCCAAAACTAGGTCAAATAATTATTGTTAATCGATTTATGTGATGGTTCAAAGTCCAAAGTTATTGACCACGGCGGGGCGTTTTCTAACAAATTTGCCTTTTTAAAGATGATCTTAAATACCATTATTTTTTTATTTGAAATTGCTATAGGTTGCACTAATAGTAATAAGAACTAATAGTAATAATATTTAATAATCAATTAGGTAAAATATATAATTTATTAGTTTTATTTTTATTTTATTAATTGTGATTAATAAAATTGCGTTTAGCTCATCAAGGAGGATGAATTCGACAAAATACCAACAGATAACTTTTAATTAGCATTAAACGGCATATACAATTTTTATATCAAAAGAAAAAATGTCAGTGGCGCACATGTTTTTTTTTAATAGAACCCATATGCACGTCCCTAACAGGGCCTATTTTACCAAAAGGCTTGGGCCTTGGGCCCGTTGGTCTGGGGGGCCCGTTAAAGGTTGTAAAATATTCATAATTTCTAGAATTTTTGAAATTTATTGGAAAAGAGGGCCTGAATTTTTTCTTGGGCCTTAGGGCCCGACCAGATGAAAAATAGGCCCTGGCCCCTGATTAATTTATCGACACTTTTTTAGCATTAAAATATGTAGCACGTATAGTAACTTTTACCCTCAAAATTTCATTCGAATCACTAAAACTACTTCGAAGAAAATTATAATAAATCGAAAGATTATTAAGACTTTACACCCTGTAGCTACGAAACAAAGCAGAATCGGACCTATGTTGATACGAAAAATAAATCATATTTTTACGTGAGGAATCTCCCCACGAGAGATGGCACATGTTTTTTGAAACACCCTGTATAAGTCAGATTTATACTTGAGGTGAAACTGTATTTCATTAAGTTCCCAAAATAAAACAAGGTAGGGTGTCTTTGCTCTTCTAATTTAGTTGGAAAATGCCTTAATATTTTTAATGGCACACTTGTATTCAGTGCATATTGTTATTAAGTAATTTTAAAAATTAAGAGATAAAATATATTTAAAATAGTTTACGGGAAATTAATATAGTTTATGCTTAAAAATATAAAAGACGTAATAATTTGTTTAAGACTGAATAGGCGATGTATCCACCAAGATAAACATATTTTTTTAATTAATTTTGTGATAAGATTATTATTTAAATTAGAGTGATCTAGTTCTAGGTTTCTTTATGCCTATTTAAATATTTTAATATCTATAACACTTTCTATTATTATTTCAACATCTAAATTTAGTGACAATATTTTATGTAAATGAATCCAGATGAAGTAAGAAGCGGTATGACAAATTTTGTCATTCATGATTTAGTAATAAATTTGGTATTAAATATTTTTTCCATATCCTGGCCAGGATTTGACAAACAAAGTTAAAAGGGAAGAACTTAGCCTTTATGAATGATTAGTGTACAGGGTGGGCCAAATTGGACGCTTTTAAAAAAAAGTTCGCCACTTTTAACTAGTAGGCTTTGGACCCCTTATTTATGATCTCCTTCTAATGGAACTCGCAAAAATATATTTTTCCAGCAAAACGAGGTACACCGCCTCAGAACGCTGAAGTTATCAGCTAATTTCGAGAATAATTGAATATATGCGAAGATCCCAGCAGTTAGCCGTTAAGGCCGCCGGACTTAGTGTCTGTTATCCTTAGTGGATTGTTATCTTTGTGGAAGAATAAAGGTTTTTATTTTTAAATTGCCCGTATAATCTAGACCAGAATTAGTAGTACTTAGCGGTTATGCGAGGGTATCTTTCAGCCCTCACTGGAATTAATGAATTCCGCGAGAAATGTTCAAAAACGGTCCCGTCTATCCATAATAGAAGACGGTAGACAGGTCGAACACCTGTAGCAAAATCACATGTCTTGGTTTGTTATTAATTTTTATTGCTATATAATAAATGTGTTGATATTGTTAATTATAGTTTAAATTGTTATAAAATACTGCATCTCTCATTGCAAATATTATTTTCGTTTTACTTGCTGCTTGCAGCTAGAATTTTTTTGCACTACAGCCGACGCCGTTCAATACCTAATTCAAAGTGGGCGAATTTTTAAAAATTTTATATCTCGAAAGGGAATCAAGCAAAATACCAAGTATTCTATATTTTTGGAAAGGTAATTTTAAATTCTTCTCAATGAATTAAAAATATACAGGGTGATAATTGTTAAATTATTAATTTTAAAAAAACTATACTTAAACGTAAAAAGGTGCATTGGAAATGTTTTCACAAAAATATGTTTTCCGTAGTAAAAAGTTACAGCAATTTGTTAAAATGCACATTTTTGAAAAACACCTCGTAACTCCGAAACCATCACCATCAAGTTTTTGATAAAAATTGAGCTTCAGACACCGATATTAGTTTTTGTCTATCTCCTATAGAAAATGGTGTTTTCCTTTAAAAGCGTGCAATTTGACCCACCCTGTACATTGGTTGTACAACAGTGAGACACCCCTCGTGCGTGTGTGTGTCAAAAAGAAACAGTTTGTTTGAGTAAGTTAAGCACATCATTGCATTTAGGAGATCATAAGGTTTTAAAACGAAAGTAAATAATCCAAGTCAAGTGTATTTAAAAAAATTGCCGCCGAGAGGCACGTATAGCCGCCCATACTAAAATATGTTCGCTAGCTACTGTATTTTTCGAGTTACGATTTTTAAAATTTTTTAACTCCCTCCCATACCTCCTTACCAACCCCCCACCCCCACCAAAAACTAATAGCCAGATTCTCGGGTTCCACAGTATTTTTGTGTCAAATTTGGTCGGTTTAACGGTTTTTAAGTTATCGTGTTACAGACGGACAGACGGACAGACGGACAGACGGACAGACGGACAGACGGACAGACGGACAGACGGACAGACGGACAAGCTGGACAGACGGGACAGACGGACAGACGGACAGTTGATCGGACAGACGGACAGACGGACAGACGGACAGACGGACAGATCGGACAGACGGACAGAGGGATGTGGAGACGGACAGACGGACAGGACGGACAGAGGGACAGACGGACAGACGGACAGAGACGGACAGACGGACAGACGGACAGACGGACAGACGGATGGTGGATGGACAGATTTGGACAGACGGACTGACGGACAGACGGACAGACGGACAGACGGACAGACGGCGGACAGACGGACAGACGGACAGACGGACAGACGGACAGACGGACAGACGGACAGACGGACAGACGGACAGACGGACAGACGGACAGACGGACAGACGGACAGACGGACAGACACCATGAAAATATTTTGTATTTAGGTCGTTTATGACCCAAATAACTCATTTTGAGTGAAATTAAAAAAACTTTTAAACTTTTTTTTGCCGATCTTAATAGCCTACGAGATTCTCGGGTTCCACAGTATTTTTGTGCCAAATTTGGTCGGTTTAACGGTTTTTAAGTTATCGTGTTACAGACGGACAGACGGACAGACAGACAGACGGACAGACGGACAGACGGACAGACGGACAGACGGACAGACGGACAGACGTGGACAGAACGGACAGACGGACAGACTGACAGGATCGGACAGACGGACAGACGGACAGACGGACAGACGGACAGATCGGACAGACGGACAGACGGACAGACCGGACATGGATCTGGGACAGACGGAATAGATCGGGACAGACGGACAGACGGACAGACGGACAGACGGACAGATCGGACAGACGGACAGACGGACAGACGCGGACAGATCTGGACAGGCGGACAGGCGGACAGGCGGACAGGGCGGACAGGCGGACAGGCGGACAGGCGGACAGACGGACAGACGGACAGGACTTGGGACAGACGGACAGACGGACAGATCGGACAGACCTGGACAGATCGGGACAGGACGGACAGACTGACAGACGGACAGACCGGACAGACGGACAGACGGACAGATCGGACAGACGGACTCCTGGACAGACGGACAGACGGACAGACTGGACAGACGGACAGACGGACAGACGGACAGACTTTGGACAGATCGGACAGACGGACAGACGGACAGATCGGACAGACGGACAGATCTGACAGACGGACAGACCTCGGACAGACGGACAGACGGACAGACACCATGAAAATATTTTGTATTTAGGTCGTTTATGACCCAAATAACTCATTTTGAGTGAAATTAAAAAAACTTTTAAACTTTTTTTTGCCGATCTTAATAGCCTACCATACCTGTTGGTATGGTCGGCTAAAAAATAGTTGATAGTATTACGGAAACAAAACGCCATATTTTAAATTTAATTGCGCCATCTTATAAGAAGACAAAATATGGCAAAAATTTGTCATTATTATTATTGTTGTAAAAATTCACTTTAAGATGTACTCTTGTACGCATTAAAGTCATTAAAAACAAAGTTGTTTAATTTTGGATAAAAATATTATTTAGAAAGTGCTTTCGTTTGTCTTTAGTGAATGTCCATTGCATTTCAATTTTTATCTTTTTTTCGTATTGCCTGTTCTCGGTAAACAATGGAAGAGGTTCCTTTTTTCGCGAGATTTTCGCTACCAAGTGTTATCTGACCCGAATGCTTAACAGCGCGGAAAACTCTAAAGATAACCAACTATTCTCGTTTATCGATCTTTTTGTTTTTACCATCGCTCGTAAATGTTTATTGACAATCGATTGCTGCGGTTTATTACGACAATTTTAGAAAATCAATTTTACTTACCGGGTCGTATTCTTTGGGAGGGGCCACGTATCCAGGTGGTTTCTTGCATTCTGCGGTTAGGAACGTTAATAGTACCATTAACGTCGCCTGTAAAACATAATAAATGTTCTCATTAAATACCTTTTGTTGTATTTATTTTAAGAAATAATTGCCCACATCAGAACGAATCTGAATAAAGTTACTAGAACCGATTTTACCGAAGAATTTTTCAACAGCTAAATAAGGTTAAATAAAGGTTTTTTAAGATTTTTTACTATAGAGATAGAGATATACACTCACCGGCAAAAAAAACGGCCACTAAAAACTAGTCCCAATTTCACAGTTGGATTTCTCGCGAACTACTCATTAGATTTTGATCATTATTTTTTAAATTGTAATTGATTCCTTATCGGATGTTACTGTCAGCCAGAAGATTCTGAAGTCTTATTTTTGAAAGCATACAACAATAAGACATTGTTTTTGCTCGAACTTTGTGACACCCTGTAGGGTGCAGCAGTTGTAGTAGATATTGATAAATCAAATCACATTGTAGCCTCATCTTTTGTGAGCATTTTGTTTTTTTAGTCACGACATTTTCTCTATTTGTATTGAGGATACGCTGCTTTAAACTACGCTGCTTTTTTTCCCCCGTTTCCATATACCGATTCCAGTCATCCTGGACTGTTGTTCGAGGTATGCCCAGGGTATCGACACATAACGTTGACTTCGGCCATCCTCAATTAAAGCCACAATACGAGCAACATCCGTCAGAGGTAATGACATTTTTTAATTTGACAACCGTTGTTGTCATATTTACACATAAAACTTTCTGTCTGCAAAGCAATTTTCCCAGACGTTCGTTTTAAAGCAGCGTATCTCCAATAAAAAGAGAGATAACGTCGTGATTAAAAAAATAAAATGCTCACAAAAGATGAGGAATGTGATTTGATTTAGCAATAGCTACTAGAGCTGCTGCACCCTAGGATGTGACTAAGTTCGGGCAAAGAACTTCGTCTTATTGTTGTGCACTGTATACGCTCAAAATAAATTCGGAATAAAAATTACTGACGTAGAATCCGTTAAGAAGGAACTAATTTACAATTTAAAAAAGTTTGAGTGGTGCGCGAGAAATCCAACTTTGAAATTTGGAGTTTTTGGTGGCCGGTTTTTTTTTGCTGGTGAGTTTATCTAGATGTATTTTCACTAGTAATTTAAATTTAGGTTAAATTTTTTCGATCTCCTCTTTTTACTGTTATTTAATAGTCTAGGGGACGAAACAGATTGTTTTGGTCTCTACATTGTTATTTCTGGGATACTGAAGATATTAAGTATTTTAAAACCATGAACTTTTGTAGTAGGGCGGTAGGTAAGGCTTTTTTAGAAGGAGGGAGTCCCACTCAAATTGTTATAAAATAAATAAATGTGATCGATTTTTCCATTTTTTATAGCATAGTAGAAGTTTCATTTTTATTTCGATTTTTTTCCAAATAATTTGCTAAAATATCGTTCGAATCGTTAAAATTATAATAAATCTAAAAAAAGTTAAGCCTTGAAACCCGTGTAGCTACGAAAAAAAGCAGAATCGGACCTGTGTTGGTATAACAAATAAATCTATTTTTACGTCGATTTTAAGAATCTCTCCACGAGAGATGTACCCTGTAGACATGTAGACCCTGTAGACATATAATTATAAATTGTACAGGGTGGCGCCTCTCATACGACGCGGAGGCTCCAGGGGCAACGACAGTTTGCATTGAAATGAAATTTTGTGAGCGTATATAGGTTAACTAGCGTGTACCAGCGACTTCGTTCGCGTCGAGTTAATCATTTGTAATGGTGATGATAAAGCAAAGCAAGAATTTCCATTAACATACAAACTGGATAAACTTTTCTCACATTTATGTCAGCATGAGAAAAAACAATATGGCGATATTATTATATAACTTTCATCTCGTTGGAATTTCACTTTCGAAAAATCCGTTTGCCAAAAATAAGCTTTTTACGTCAAGCAGTTTAAGCAGAATCGTGGTTAAGAAATTACCCAACTTTTGATCAAACACCCTGTATGATTTTTTAAAAAATTTCAAAATGTGTAAAAAAACCAAATAAATTATGCTTGTCCAAGCGTTTTTCCGAAAGACTAACCGTTTTTTAAATAACACATATTGTAATATATGAGGAGCGTTTTCACCCTCTTGGAATTTGAGGTTCGAGAAACCCCTCCTTATCGAACCTTTACACCCTACAGTCAATTCGTTTGCAAAAAATCAACTTTAAACGTCAAGCAGTTTAAGCAGAATCGTGATTACTCAATGGTCATATTTTATAAAACACCCTGTATAAATTTATAAAAAATCTTAAAATATGTTAAACAACAAAATAAAATATACGTGTTTAAGAGTTTTTTCCGAAAAACTCACCGGTTTTTAAATAAAAAATATTTTAATATTTGAGGGATAGTTTCACCCCTTAGAATTCGAGTTTCGAAAAATCCCTTCTTATCGAACCTCTACACTCTAAAGTCAATCTGTTTTCCAAAAACAGGTTTTTACGTCAAGCGCTTTAAGCAGGATCGTGATTAATCAATGGCCAGATTTTTCGAAACACCCTGTATACATTTTTAAAAAATCTTAAAATATGTAAAAAAAACAAAATAAAATATACGTGTTTAAGCGTTTTTTCGGAAACCTGACCGTTTTTTAAATAAAAAATATTGTAATATTTGAGGGTTGGTTTCGCCCTCTTGGAACTGGAATTTCGAAAAATCCCTTCTTATCGAACCTCTACACCCTAGAATCAACCTGTATGCCAAAATTGAGCTTCTTACGTTGAGTGGTTTGAGCAGGATCGTGAATAATCAGTATGTCAGTCACTGAAGGATTTTATATACCGTGCTAGCAACTGTTACTTTTGGGTCGGCATTTACATGTGTGGAAGTAAATCGCATAGAGATCTTATTAGAGATAACTAGATAAAATCATCAGACATGTTTCTGAGCATCTGAAATGGAATTATAAGGATATCGTTAGGGTGTAATTTTTTTATAACGAGAAAACGTCAGTAATCGCTATAATTGAAAAACTCAACTTTTTAACACATAAGAGTCCATAACTCAAGAACCACTTTAGATATTGAAACATTTTTTATTTTCAAGATCGGATATTTTTACAATATGTTTACATAAGAAAAATTCGATAAGGTTGTTTTTTCCATTCAAAAATTGTAAACAATCCATCCATTTACTTTTAGAGCATAGCAATTTTCAGCAATCGTGTAATTTTTTTATTGATAAAGATTTTCACATACTGTCTACAAAGAAAATACAGCAGAAATATTAACAAAGTTCTTGAAAAATCTACAATCTATTATTTCTAATAGATTTCGAGATATCAATTTTTGAATTAGAGTTCTAATAGCGCGAACACTATCGAACACCTACTCAATTCCACTTATTTTTACCAAAAATGCAAGTGTTTCTCGCTTGCACTTAAAAAAAATCAAGCTATAGGGAAAATTACAACGACTCGTTAATAAATAAACAAATTAAGTATCACGAGACGTAATTAAATCGTGAAGCTGAACGCATGACGTACACCTCTCCCTAGAACTTCAAGCACTGACAGAGGTAAGAGGTATTGATACTTGTGTCTAGCCCTAGCAGGCAACTATTAAGCCCGACCAATCACGTTAGAGTTTTTGACAAACACAAATGAATTAACACCCTTCAAATAACCACGCTAACCAACCTGATTGGTCAAGCTTAAAAGTTGACGGCTAGGGCTAGACACTTCTGGTATTGATTGGGTCGACCTGTCAACTGCGACAAATCTGCTATATCCCCTTCCACGTCTCTTAGCGATGTGCACAGTTTCTCGGTTTATTTCATACGTTTGGCAACGTGTTTACTGTCCTCTCTTTGTTCAGTACACTATAAACGCATTGTATTTTTCTTACATACGGAAATCTCGACCCAAGACTAACCTTTGCCAGCCCTTAGTGTTAGTATAGATGTTAAAGACAGTGTTTACAAAACTTGACCGACCATTATTGTCGACAATATAAGAGAAATAATGTAGTTGCTTTTTGAAATAGAACTCCACATGTGCCTTTTGAAATGAAAAGATCTTTTGAAAAGAGCATTTTATGCATTTAACAGGAAGGGTAGCATTTTGAGCATTTGACCTCATCTAGCTAATTTTTGTCACATAATTATAGGTTTATATCTGGTTTTAATTCTGTAATAATTAAAATATGTTTTAAACATGTATCTTGTTATTGCCGTTGTGTATTTTACTCTACATCCTTTAATTTTTGTTAAATTAACAAAAGGTATATCACAGCCACCCCCCTAGATTTTTTCAAATAATAAAGATCTACTGACGCAAAATCATAAAAATTAAAATATCTAAGAGAATCTTTGTCTGAAGGGTAGACAACCTTAATATTATTTTGAAGATATATGAATTCCCCATTGAACACCGGAATAATATACTGGGCGTTCTATTTAAAATAATCGAGTAACTTGCTTTTAAAAGTGACCAATGTTGCATATTAATTTTGTCTCACCCTGTATAATTTTTCAAGTCAAATTTTAATTTGGTTTAACATACAATGGTTATTATAATTACATATCAGGCTATACAGGGTAAATTAAGATTTAGGTAGCTGTTATTGAAATTTAAAATTTACTCTTCATTTTCACAAAATGTGAAATATGTCAAAATCCTTACAGTTTAGGCATATGTTTCTTTAATAAAACTCACCTTTATTTTTTTCCTAGAATCCAAAAATCAATTAATATATAGGGTGTTTCGTTACAAAAAACACATCTTTGATGTGTAACTTTTTTGGGAACATCCTGTGTAATTAAATATTTTTATAAAATGCTTTCAATTGACCTATATATTTATGCTCCAAAAATTTCATTTTGATATAAACTACCGTTCTCCTTAGAACCTCCGCGTCGTATGAGAGGCGCCACCCTGCAAAACATGTTTTTAATGTTAACCAATAAAATATATGCAAGTATGTTAATATTAACGTATCTGGAACAATATCGATAAGTACTATATATGTAGTCATTTTTCTCTCTTCCAACGCCTTTAGTT